TTTTGATGACAGAAAATAAGATTGGTCCCTTCCTTGATACCTTTTGTCAGTGGGCCTGAGGACCCCATGTTTATTTGGAGTCGATCAAATGGCTTGTATAATCGTGTTTCTCACCATTGTAAAAGAGTTGGTGGGTGGTTTGGTTGTATATTATTGATTTTTAATGTATGCCACCTGGAATCACCATGTACGAGTTGGATGGCCATATACTGTAAATCTAATGCACTGGGTATCAGTCACTCAGTGGTGGGATTCAAAATTTTTTTACTACTGGTTCTGTGGATGTGGCTTGGTGGAGTGTGGCATGGCTTGGTGGGCATGGCTTGGTGGGCGTGGCAGAGGAAGGATACTGTAAAATCTCCATTCCCTCCACACTCCTGGGGGAAGGTTACTGCAAAATCCCATTCCCTCCCTACCCCACTAACCAGTTTTCCAGCTCCATTCTCCTGTGCAGGGCAACAAAAGAAGACCCAGCTGATCAGCTGGGACTCAGGAGGCAGAGAATCGATGGGGGCAGCGCCAGTCAGTGGTGGTATTTACTGGTTCTCCAAACTACTCAAAATTTCCACTACTGGTTCTCCAGAACTGGTCAGAACCTGCCGAATACCACCTCTGCTACCACTGCTTATACCAATTGGCAGTGGTTCTCCAGAATCATAGCTAAAAAGAGAGTGCCCCTTTAACTGCTGATATTTACAAATGACTCTCAAGCATTTGGCTTGCAAAACAAGTGTTCCTACTTCCTCTGGCAAAATCATTTCTGAATGTTTTGAAATAGGTTTGTACCCATCCTGGTCCTCTTCTATCCTTCCTGTTGTACATCTTTCTCTCATGCAAGTTTGGGCAATTTCCCATTTGGAAACATGTACATGATTAATTTCCGAAGAGGCAGGGATATATGGAGGCAACTATACATTGAATTTGCTTCCTGAATGCCCCCCTATGATTACTAAATCCAAAAGAGTCCTCAAATAGCTTTCCTCCTCCTGAGAAGCAACTCAGGGCCCTGCCTAGGCCAAAAAAATCATTCTTAATTGCAGTCTTATCAGAAGAAGAAAGTTAAACCAGGGTTGGATTTCTGAGTAGCCACATTTTAAAAAGTGGAAACAAAATGGATTTTAAACAAAGTTGAGAAAAGCTTAACTGCAGAGTGAAAAAAGTATCATAAAGAGGATGGACTTCCGGTTTGAGCTTCTTCAGCGACAGACCGAAACCTCGTCTCTGTAAGGCTTCGATCCGTGCTCGCCGCTGGAGCGCCCCGAGCCAGCTGGTTTTGGGGCTAAGCCACTCTGTAGAGGTGGTGAAGAGAGGGGAGACTGCCAGCAGGGTTGAGGATAGCCACATCTTTCCTCCCCAGCTGGCCATTATTCCCTTTCCCGAAGGCTGTTGCAGCAGTGGTCAGAAATGGCCACCACAAAGAAGAACTCGACCAGAAAAGAATGTGCAGGAGGAAGATAAGAAGAGAAAGTTTTGGTTGACCGGGTCAAACAGCAAAAGCAACAAATAAGGTACCCTGGAATTGAAACTGTTAAAAAACAATAACATTGTTCCCTAAGAAGATTTTTAAGCTGCGAAGGAGAGAGAAAAGGGAAAAGATTTGGTTTTCTCCTTTTTCTATACTGACAGCTAAGAGACTTAAGCAAGAAATTGGAAAAAAAAAATCCACTTTGACATCAATAGGCATTTAATGCTGAAAATAAAAAGTCAAAGGGATAATAAAGATTTCTGGATAATTAAAAGCTTTTGAAAACAGGAAAGGAGAGAAAAAGAATAAAAGGGTAGGATCTGGAAGGGAGGAGACTGCCTGGAATTAAAAAAGAACTTACAGCAAAATCTCAACAAGACTTCCAAAAGATACATTCTAACTGAAATATCGCAACAAAAACCCCAGGAAGAGAAAGTCGAAAAAGAAATAAGAAGATATAACTCGGGACTATCTGGATTAATTGATGATTTCTGGATTCTTGGTTATTGTTTTGAATGACTAAAATCAATCGGGTGGTTGTTTAAAACTTTTTAAAATGGCTCCACTTTTAGAAGAACTGAAAATGGAACTTAAAAAGTACAAAGAAGATGCACAAGAATGGAGAAGTTCTTTTGGTTTCGTATTTCAGTTTTTAGAAATGGAGATTTGGAATTATGAGAAACAACAAGAAATGCCTGCAGAACAAGAAGATTGCGACAAAGAAGAAGCCATCTTTAATGAACAAGTAATCTTAGATGGGGGGAAAAAGGAAAGGGGGGGGGGAAGAGAATGGAAAGTTTAAGATTGGAAAAAACAACTCCAAAAAACGATAGAGTGAAAAATAACTATAAAATCAGAAAGCAACAGAAGAGAGAAATGCAGAAGAGAGAATTAGAAATAGAGAGACAAGGGGGTAAAAAGGGGAGGGAGAAGATGAGAGGGAAGAAAGAAAGGAAAAGAAGTTATAAAGGACAGAAGCAAAATATAGAGAAGCAGGGCATATTTAGAGATAATGGATGAAAACTTAATGGAAAAAGGGATTCTGCAAAGGTACATAAGATAGTATGGTTTTATTAGAAGCAGAAATAATTTTAGAAAATATGAAACAATGTATGATTAAAATGTCTGATAAAATAGCTATCGTGATTCAGTGGAATGCTTGTCAATAAATAAATGTAACAAAATGAATATTTAATGATTTACAAAACATAAGTGAAGAGAAATAAGGGAAAAATTAATTATGGAGATTATATGTGTCTTTAAGGAAGTATAATATTTAATTGAAAAGAAGTGTTAAAGATGTTCAGAATTTAATGATTATTAATCATAGAACTGAATTGGAATGGAATGAGGATTTATAATTACATATATTTATAATCCTTTTTTAAAAAGAATATAGTGTGTATTATAAGAATGTACCAAGCAGAATTCAATTGGAAGTTATGTATTATGTATTATATTGAAGGTCATAACCTTAAGGTATATATTGAAGTTTAAATAAGAATTGAATGGATGTAATTAAAAGATATAAAGGTGTCATACTCCAATTAGAAACTACAGGAGAAAATCTGTTTAATGAGAAAAGATAATATGAAATTGAAATGGAACAGACAAAAGTATAAATATAATGATTTGAATTGAGATGAGATAATCAAAATAAAATTGAGAAAATTAAAAGAGGGGGAAAACTATATAGAAAATGTAAAATAGTATAAGATATGGAACAGAATACAAAAAGGAGCATGAAATTGAGTTTTGTGTCTGTATAAAGAAGTTCAACCCGGGACCATGCTATTTTCAAAAAAGATGTTTTACTTGTATTTTGTATGTGTGAAAACCCAAATAAAACTTTATTAAAATAAAAAATAAAAAAGTATCATAAAGAGAACTTGAAAAGATATGAATATGTCTAATCTGAAAAAGACAGGGCAGACAGGTTATAGCTCAATATGTTGAAATGCCAAAGGTCCACACACTGAATATAGTAAGTAGACCAGCATTTCTCAACGTTGGCACCTTGCAGATGTATGGACTTCAAACTCCAGAATCTTCAAACTGCCATGGTTGAGAAACACTGCAATAGACCCTTGTCCTAGTCTAAAGATCTTTGAATGCAAGAGTTCAGTTTTTTTGTTGTCAACCAAACCAAGCCAATGCCTTAAAGGGGCCTGTGTTCTCTCCCTTGCTGGAAGTTCTTAGAGAAAGGCTAAGTACCAGTTTCCTAGGCATGCTACCCAATGGGTTTCTTACATTAAATGGGCTGGAAACATTATACCATATAGCTTTCAAGGCTCTAGAAATCAGTGCTGAGCATATCCACTGGAACCGGTGGAGAATATATCTGCAATATTGGGATCTGCTTCCTGTATAACCACAGGAAACTGGTGTTCAAACAGTTGAAATGGGTAGCCTTCATGTGCATTTATTCTGAGATCACTCATAATACGACTATGGGGAAAACTAATCAGTTTCTTTTCATGTATTATCAACATGGCAAAAGAAAAAATGTCTAAAGTTTCCCATCGTAGATGACATTAGTGGCTTCTGGTATAATCCCACAATGGTGCCACACTATAACAGAATAACCAAGTTGGGACCTTGGAAGACTTCTCATTCTCTAACTCCTTGCTGTAGTATGATCTAATTTGACTTTGGTTGAACCAGGGGTGGGGTTCTACCAGTTCACACCTATTCGCTAGAACCGGTTGTTAACATTCTAAGCAGTTCAAAGAACCGGTTGTTAGAAGAAATTACTGGCCTAATCCTGTAAGGAAGGCAGGAAGGAAACATTCTGGTGTTGCTTACAGAAACTGCCTCTCTGTTAACCCTTATTACATTCTTAGCAGGACTAGACTTCCTGTCTCTGGAACTTCTCTGGAGGTTTTTTCCCTCCTTTGCTGGTACTTTGCTTGTTTGTCAAAGTTACAATGGTACTGAATGGTACTGAAAAAAGTGACATGACCATTTTTCACACTTACGACTGTTGCAGCATCCCCACAGTCATGAGAGGCCAGGCGAGGAGATGCGTTCCTCAATGTGAGTGATATTGAGTTGGCCACACCCAGCCAATAACATGACCACCAAGCCATGTCCACTCAGACACATGACCACCAAGCCACACTCACCACCTAAGCCATGCCCACAGAACCAGTTGTTAAAAAATGGAATTCCACCCCTGGGTTGAATGTAGTGTGTAAATCCAGACAGATGTGGTTTATTAGGTAAAATATGTTGACAGTAGGAGAGTACATGTAATTCAGGGTTGAACTGTTGAGTTATTGGTTCTCTCTGAGTTTTGTGGTTTTCTTTCAGATCTTTCATTACCCAACTAGCTAACCTCAACACTGCTAGTCAGTGTGGGGGTTTACTTATTGCTTATATACAGTAACTTGCCCTGCCTGGCAACTCCACAATCACTAGTAGTGGTGAGGTTACCTAGTTGGGTAATGGATGTCTGCAAGCAAACAACCAAACTCAGGGAACACCAAGGACACCAAACTATGGTTAATTAAACCATGGCTTAGCATGATGGATTAATTCCATTTGGAGTTAGAAGCCACAATGTGCCTATCTTTTAAAAAAATCTTGATTGTCATTTTGCACAATAATAATTCTGTCTCAATACTGCACTTAGACTTAGTACCGCTTCACAGTGCTTTTCAGCACTCTCTAAGTGGTTTACAACATCAGCATGTTGCCCCCAAGAATCTCATTTTATTGTCCTTGGAAGGATGGAAAGCTGAGTCAACCTTGAGCTGGTCAGGATCGAACTCCTGGCAATGGGCAGAGTTAGCCTGCAATACTGCATTCTAATCACTGTGCCACCATGGCTCCTGGTGGTAAACCGTAAAGCAGAGACCATGCATCAGCACACTCCTCTGCCAGGAGGAGGGGGGCCATACTATGGATTATAGACATTAGGTTTGTGGAAAAACTGGTAGTAAAATGAGCCAGTGTCATCTGAAATCTTATTAATTGGTAGTGGTTAAAATGGAGTATTGCAGGCTTACTCTGCCCACAGGCAGGAGTTTAATCTTGATGGCACTGAAGGTTGAGTCGGCATTCCATCCAGAGGTGGTATTCAGCAGGTTCTGACCAGTTCTGGAGAACCGATAGCGGAAATTTTGAGTAGTTTGGAGAACCAGCAAATGCCACCTCTGACTGGAGATTTTACAGTATCCTTCCCCTGCCACGCCCACAGAACCGGTAGTAAAAAAAAAATGAACCCCATCACTGATTCCATCCTTCTGAAGTTAGGAAAATGTGGACCCAGATGGTTGGGGGCACTAAGCTGATGTTGTAAATTTCCCAGAGAGTACTGTAAAAACACTATGGAGCAGTATCTAAGTTTAAATGCTATTGCTATATTGCTATTATTGTTTTTGTTCATGGACCATTCTTCTTGGGGATTCCATTTAAGGGATCTACCTAGATTGGGTAATGAAATGTCTGCAAGAAAACAACCAACGACTCATTTCAACTTTGAGTGAAATATTGAACTGAAAATAATCTTTGTTGCAATCCCATTTAAAGCCTCAGCCCTGTTAATATCAGATTAGGGATAATTCAGTCATCTTCCTCTCACAAATGTTTCCCAGGAATTCAACCTATCATCCTCCCCTGTGATACCCTGTCTCTTTAGTCCCCAGCAAAATGAGAAAGATGGATCGATATTAGTTCTGGAACACAGCAGAGCAGCTCTTGCTGCAGTCTGCAGTGTGGGCTACCACTGACTCCAGTGCCCTCTTGTGGCACATACATTATTGGCTCCTACTCTTTTTGTAGTAAAAAAGGGGAAATCAATTATTCTAAAGCTAAAAATCCTGTACTAGGCCCTGATCTTAGTCTATTGCCAGCTTCTTTAAATCATTTAGCCTTACCCTATAAATCTAATGAAATATAGCGAAGTTGTTAACATTCACATTCAAGTACACTTACTGAAAATTTATCAGACTTTGGCCATGATCCAAAATGTATTTATCCTGTGCCAGAACTAAATGACTCCTTTGGTAGAGGTTAGAATAAACACAAGGGTCAGGTTCATGTCTGTCTTGTGGCCGATAGAAAGAAGCTCAGCTGCCAGAGACAATTCTTTATCAATTTTTTTAATGGTCTATTTTACGGGGATGTTGATATTGTGGATGATCACAATATCATCAAGATCTTTATTTAAACCTTTCAGTTGAAACAGTTTTAAATTATGGTGCAACTGACAAGTCATAATAACTGCAGCATTGAGATAGAAAATCTGAAAGTTATAATTTTCTATTCCATGGGCCAGAGTTTAATTTGAGTAGATTTAAGTTACAGGAACATACAGAATGTACAGAATAACAGAATAAGAGAATTGAGTTGGAAGGGACCTTGGAGGTCTTCTAGTCCAACCCTCTGTTCAGGCAGGGAATCAGGGGTAGGATTCTACAGGTTGGTACCTATTCGCTAGAACTGGTTGTTAACATTCTAAGCAGTTTGGAGAACCGGTTGTTAGAAGAAATTACTGGCCTAACACTGTAAGGAAGGCAGGAAGGAAACATTCTGGTGTTGCTTACAGAAACTGCCTCTCCGTTAACCCTTATTACATTCTTGGCAGGACTAGACTTCCTGTCTCTGGAACTTCTCTGGAGTTTTTTTCCCGCTCCTTTGCTGGTACTTTGCTTGTGTGGAGTGACCATTCAAAGTTACAATGGCACTGAAAAAAGTGACTTATAATCATTTTTCACACTTATGACTATTGCAGCATCCCCACAGTCACGAGAGGCCAGGCGAGGAGATGCATGCCTCGATGTGAGTGATGTTGAGTTGGCCATGCCCAGCCAGTCACATGACCACCAAACCACACCCACCAACCAAGCCACGCCCACAGAACCGGTTGTTAAAAAAATTGAATCCCACCCTTCCAGGGAACCCTATACCATTTCAGACAAATAGCTGTCCAGGCTTTTTTTTAAAAGCCTCCAATGACGAAATAGCCACAACTTCTGAAGGCAAAGCTGTTTCCCTGGTTAATTGTTCTCACTGTTAGGAAATTTCTCCTTAGTGTCTGTAGGTTGCTATAGTAGAATGTTTTAAGAAACACCCTGTTAGTAATAGCAGCTCAGCAATGGAGACAAATCTAGAAGTTTCCATCAGTGGTGGAATTCAAATTTTTTTACTACGAGTTCTGTGGGCGAGGCTTGGTGTGTGTGGTAGGGGAAGGATACTGTAAAATCTCCAGTCAGAGATGGTATTTTCCAGTTCTCTGAATTACTCAAAATTTCTGCTACTGGTTCTCCAGAACTGGTCAGAACCTGCTGAATACTACCTCTGGTTTCTATCATTGGATATCTTCTAGAAAATATTGGATTTCCTGCACTGAGGAAAACCCTTTGGATATTTGGAAGAGAAGGGATGAGTGCTGCATTAGATGGGCACCATGCAAAGTCCCCCTCGAACTCTTCAGTTCAGAGTTACCAATTCTCAGATGCCACTAAAAACTAACTTACTAGTTCATCTTTTCAATTTACTGTTTTCTCATCCATTCATTGCATTGGTCTTTGTGCTCTAATATTTAAGATAGCTTACTGCATATAATACCCAGTACTGCTCCTAATCTCCACTAGAGCATTTACAATGATGTAATCTCTCTTTCCCAAAAACTTTTTTAAACCATTCACTTTTCTCCAAACTGTTTGGCTCACATTCTTAGTTGCCTTTGCCAGCCACTGAAAACTAGGTAGATATCATTGCATTATTTATTTCTACATGCTCCTTGTAATTCTTGCCTCATCTGCTTCCCATTCTTTCCCACCTGACACATTATAGATTGTAAATTTCTGGAGGAAAAGGTGGCTTTTGCTCCAGCACTTCTATCCCACTAGAGGTTTTTTTTAAACTCCCCAATCACTCCAAAATTGTTTAATCCTGATTTATAGCTGAGAGGGTCCTTGGTGCTCTCTGAGTTTAGTTGTTTTCTTGTGGTTTCGTTACCCAAACTAGGTAACATAATCAGTGTTAGCACTGACGATGTTATCTAATTGAATTGAATTCTTTATTGTCATTGTACATATATACGCAGTATATATACAGTGAAATTCACATAACACCCAGAGACCAGACTCAACATGCACACACATGACAATCCCCAAACACCTCCTCACCCGCCAAAATTCCCTGCCTCCTAAAAACACACAAGCATCCACACAACAGACCAAGTAATGCTGTCCAAAAGCTCACTGATTGTAGTCCTTAAGTTCATTGTTAGGTGCAATTTGGATAATCAAATTTGGGTAATCAAACGTCCGTAAGAAAACAACCAAGCTCAGAGAGCCCTAAAACTTCCCATTTCAAACCTGAACTACAAATATTCTCCTTTATTGAATTATATCTGTCTTCATTGCTGCTTCTTGTCTCGAAAAGTATGGAATGTGTCAGACCATCCTGGGCCAAAGAGGATGCCATTCAGCTAACTAGTAAAAGAGTGTAAAAAGGTCATCCATTCATTGCTCAGCCCCCTCAACTGTTGGGAGCCTTGAATTAAAGTCACCTCTCCCCCTCGATGCAAAAAGGAATATGCTCCCGCCACCCCCTCAAACTATTATGACAGAAAGTTAAATAAAAGATTGTGCCTGCGCATGTTAGCATTTATTTGTTGAATATCTACCCTACTGCAATCTCATAACTCTCAGCACTGTACAAGATATGAGAGAAATAAAATATCCATAGGATGAAAACACAACGATGTCAAAAAAGAATGAAAATAGATTACCAATCTCATACACTGTAGCAATGAAAAGAAAGAAAGATAAAGATATTGCGGTGATTGAAAATCATTGGAAAGACATAAAGCAGAGAGAAGGGGTTGGGGCAATCTTTTCTCTGCAGGGACTATTCCACGTCAGCTGTGCTACCACTGAAAAGCTGCACCTTCTAGCATTGGCTATTGTGGGATCGCAAGGAGCTTCTCCCACATTCCAGTCTTCCCTTAGGCACATAAGATGTGTAACTTTGAGCCCGTCATTCTCATGCAGCTCTAGCCTGAGAAGTTGGGAAACATCTGTTTACCAATCTAGATTGGATCAGCGTCATATAGTATGGTCAGCCTATCACCATACTAATCATCTTTCAGTGAATTGGTTTGGACTGATCCTACAAGCTGAAAGTTCCGAGCAGTCTTGTCATTATACTTCTGCCCTTACAAAGGGAACCCTCTAAACCCGCCTCTTGGAAATGTTACATTAGAATTCCTCACTGCAGACTGCATGTTAGTTGGCATTCCTTTTGGAGGAAGATGGGTGTTATAAATAAGCCAATTTATCAGGATGGTACCAGGATGGGATAAGCTATTTTGAGTTATAATTGCATATTTGTCCCATTGTAAATATGGAATAGCATCTAAGCAATTGCTGTATCAGTGGGAAATGTCTATATTAATCAGCCCAGTTAAACATTGGGGTTGTGTTTATATAGTACAAAAATCTAAGTTCGGTAGAGACTATTATTGCAACTCATTGTATCATCAGTCTGGAAGGGCTGCTATTTTGGATTTATAGAAACTATCTACAGCTATTGAGTAAGCTGCTTCCTCCTCTTCTTCTTCCTCTTCTCCTCCTCCTCTTCCTCTTCCTCCTCCTCCTCCTCCTCCTTCTTCTCCTGTAGGCCAGACAAGGAATAATGGATGGAAACTGAACAAGGAGAGATTTAACCTGGAAATAAGGAGAAACTTTCTGACAGTGAGAACAATCCACCAATGAAACAGCTTGCTCTCCGAAGTTGTGGAAACATCATCACTGGAAGATTTCAAGAAGAGATTGGACTGCCATTTGTCAGAAATAGTGTAGGGTCTCCTGCTTGGGCAGAGGGTTGGACTAGATGACCCTTCCAACTGTGAATATCTGTTATCCTTCTCCTCCTTCTTCTTCCCCTCCTTCTTCCCTTCTTCTTCCCCTCCTCCTCCCTCTTCCAATAGATTTAAATCTGAGCATCATAAATAATCCATCAGAAGTATGGCAAAAGTGGACAGATGAGAATTTACCAAGTCTATGTTATGTTAATATCTAGTCAAACAATGTATCATCATCCTAATATCAAAATGTACTTTATGTTGTTTTTAAAATGCATACTGTGTGAAGTACTTCTTTTTCTTGGTCCTCTCTGCCTTCCTCCCAATATATACAGATTTCCTAAGCTGTTTTAGCACACACATATTTCTCCTTATGTTTAGCTGGAGAAATAGGTGACTTTTTAGATGTCCATTTCTCAGCTGGAGAAGTTGTGGATGGGAAGGGGATACCCAAATTTTTGGGTTAAGATTTGAAATGCCATCAGGATGCTGTCTAACAAGCCATCATTTGGTCTTCTCCATTCTTCCAGTAGACTGAAAATTAATCAAATTTGTCTGCCTGTTTCGCATCAGCAAGTAATCTTTACAGAAGTGAAGGAGAGAATGAAGGATTTGCACCAAAGGATGAGGAGGCAATCTAGGCAGCCAGACAGAACGACAAAACTGCCCCTTCCCTGAAGCCTCCCCCTGCATCTACCCTTCCATGGCCAAGCTCCAAACCTTTCTCTCCTACTTCTCATCCACAGACAAACCAGCTGGGAGCCTCTCCTCCTTCCAGCCTCTGTCGTCACTAGACTAGAAATGCTCTCTCCCTCTTTCATGCAAACACATTGCTGCATTTGGACAGGAAGGTTTCCTGGGACCATTTAGCTTTCAGAGCAGAAAGACGACTGATGCTCACTTGGCAACTTGAGCTGAACTCATAGCCAAGAAACAGCAGAGAAGAGAAAGAAAGAAAGAGAGAGAGAGAGAGAGAGAGAGAGATGCCCAGAAGGGTGTTTGTGCACATTTTGCTTTTCAGTTTGCCTGCTTCTGCTTCATAGATTCCCCACCTTGTTCTTAAGGAGATGCACCTGGAGTTTAGGAATCCAGGGATTCAGAAGTCTGCTTTCCAGTGCAATACTGGCTAGCACGTGTTTCCTCTTTTCTTCTCCCTAAAGGTAAGTCCTTGGGTTTCTAATCTTTGCAGAGTAGCTGCTGGGCTAGCATCTATCCAGAGGAATGGAGTCAAAGTAATTCTGGTTTGCTTTCTGTGTTAGCACAAGTCATTACATATGTACCTCCATACGTAGCGGTTGGTGCAAAAAAGTTGGCCGCAGCAATACCAGGAAGGAATCAAGTTTTCTCAGGGCAGGATCCTCCAATGTGTTCTTTAACACAAATCCTATTCCAATGAATGGGAGCAGTGGAAGAACAGAAGTTTGCCAACGTGTTTTCTTTCCTCAGGAAGATGCCAATTTTACACCTTGAAGCAGAATCATTTATTTCTATGGGCCTATAAATAGAGGAGTGGGGCTTTCTGAAACTGAATGGATTGAATGGAACCCCCCTTTGCTATTCATACCTGCCTTCTATGGGACAAACTAAAAGATCCTGAGTTTCTGGGAACTTGAGGTGTAACCTAAGCTAAACTGTGCTTCCTTCATCTGTACTATGTTAATACTACTTATGGATTGCTGGATGGAGTTGTCAGAAATAATTTCACCAATCTGGCACTCTGCACATAAGCAGTGTAATTCAGAGGACTTCGGGCAACATTTGGAAGGCGTCAGACTGAGAAAGGCAGTTGACTGACTTAATAAACAGAATTTAAAGAAGCAGCTGAAATAGCAAGGGGTCCAGTAGTTGTTCTTCCCTGAGCCATCAGAACTGCAATGTCACTGGGGAAACGTGGGGTATTCACCCCCCCACACACTAGACAAGGGGCAGAGACACATATAAAGTGGAGGGATAGTCTGTAAAGTTCTCCATCATAAGCTGCCCTTACCATTAATTCTCAAAAGCCCGAGCCAGCACGTTATCTATAGATTAAATCGAGGAAGAGCAAAGGTATTTATTCATTTCTACCCTTAAAGTGGCACCCAGGTCATGCTCACTGCGGGATGCATTATAAATGATCGGACTAATGGGTATCTCTATAAAAATTAAATGAAACAAAAATCATCAGGATGGCAACGTTAATGACACTCGTAAGTGTACGCACAATGCGTGTGAACATGATGCCCTATAAGCTGAAAGCAGGATGTAGTAGAGAGCATAAAACTCAGAAATATAAAGTGTTGCGTTTACACCAGCCCGCTGCCATTTTATTTCGACTTTTCTCGTGATCCCTCACCGTCCACTTGAAAAACTTCCGATAAGCAGAAGGGGAGAAGTTTTTTTTTTTCAGCGACCTCTAGGAGGCGCTACTAACATGCAGGGCAGGCGGGAAAGACTCCGAGTTAACCCCGCCTCCGTGCGTTTCCTTTGCTTGCTTAGCCCGTTCACCCACGAAGCTAAAAGAAGCTTCGCTCTTTTGCTTTCGAGTTTTTTTGGGGGGGGGAGGGGGGCACACATACGTTCCAGGCGCTGCTTCCTCACCCCCCCCCCCACTCCGCACATCCCAACAAAGTCCCGATTTCCAGGAGTCCATTCTTCCAGGCGGCGGCAGCAGCAAGGGGAGGAGGATCCGACAAGTTGCAACAGAGACGGCCCTTCCGCGTTCGGTTCACCTTGGGGCCATCGTGTCTAGATTGTAGCAATCCGGACGGCCACCAGAGGACAGCAGACATTTCGGATTTTTGCAACACAGACACCTTAGCTCCACTCGTGCCTGTCTGAGGGTTTGAGTTGGGGTGGTGTGTGTGTGTGTGTGTGTGTTAATGAATAAACGTGTAAGCGAATGCATGTGACAGATGCATTAATGTATACAAATGAAGGTGTCCCTGTTTAGAAATCTTCATGACGGTTGGTGCTGCAGGTTCTTTGACCAACTACGACGACAGGCTTTTAAGCAGTGACAATCAG